GCTTCATGTCGTGCTGCATCTCGTTTCTGCTGTATTCATTCGAGGTGCATCGGAGGCTTGCGGTTAGAGGTCGAAGGTCGAGCGAGAGCTTTGCAGGTTTCTGTAGCTCCCGGCCAGGAAGCTGAAGATGTAAATCTCCGGCCCAGGGTTCAAGGTCCGTGTCCCCACACACAGAACAATCTGATCTGGGGCTGGGGGTTTTGGGGGGTCGGGTTTAGCTTCTGCACTTCAACTTCCAGAGTTCCGTCGCTTCACGTTGTGCGGAGCACATGTGTGGCCGACTTCCCTCTGATGATCAGAGCCTGGGTTCCAAAAAAGGCTGCTTCGTCATTCGTTGAGCGGAGCTTGGTTTGGTTTGCGGCTTGTGCATCTGCGGGACCCGAGCTCTTTTCCTTGCATCTTCTGCCCCGAGCCTTAGGCCCTACACCCGACATCCCGACAGCCTCCACAGGCAGCAGTGCGTGATGCGATCGCTGCAGATGAGCTTCGGGCAGGTGGTTGGCAGAGGGTAGTTCAGCGGTCAGAAGTCTCTTGGGCTTGCGGCTTAGGGTTTAGGGGCTTTAGGTTTGGTGTGTTGGAGGTCTTGGGCGAGGGTGAAATCCTGGCGGTTAGAGGTCTGCGATCTTCATGGAAGATTTCACATCGCAGGTTCGCAAACCTCGAACCCGAAACAAACCGAAATTAGTGAGGGCTTGGGAAAGTCATCGGGCTGAATAAATCTGAGCAGAGTGTTTGCTCAGCAATACTTCTCAACCGGTCATGAGCAGGGTTGTTCCAGGTATTTTTCGATAACATACAACAGAACGCTATACTGTATACTTTCGTATTCAAAGTATACCATACAAGTATGAAAATTCGTGATATGTATATATGTGTATGTATACAGACACACGCACAATCAGAAATATTATATATATATATATATATACATATATATATATATATACACATACATACACACCCTGCACCTTAACTCCCAGGACCTGCCCCCAGCCACCTCCCACGGATGGGCTTGAGTTCGCACCATTGAAGTTTGCATTTCAGGGCTTAGGAGGGCTTTAGGGTTTAGGACTTTGTTTTTAGGGGTCTAGGGTAGGGGTTTCTGGTGTAGGGATTTATGGTTTAGGGGGTTTAGGCGTTTAGGCTTTAGGGGTTTAGGGCTTTGCGGTTGATGGTTTGGGATGCTTTCGCGCGAAATTCGTGGGCCACGGCAGCCTGCAGTGATATTAATAAAACCTATAGAAGCCTGAGCAGTCTGAATAAATGGGCAAAATTCCCCTGTAGGGTCCCTATATAGTTCTACCCAAATTTGACCGCGTAACCCTGCTACAGTCATTCAGGGCCCTATCTTGAGTATTGCCCATGAAGATTTGAATTCTGTCAGAGCCAGTCCTGCAGGCGCTGAGCCCTGACCCGCCCTGAGTTGTCAATCTATTGTCTAGGGTATAGGGCCTATGGTTGTTTAGGGTTTAGGGTTTTTAGGGCAGCACCTGTGCCTATGTAAGCCCGAAGCCGCGACCCGAAAAGATTGTGAAGCAGAACCTGAGGCCTGTAGCTTCAAAAGTCCCGGGACCCTAATTCGTACAGTCACAATCACTGGAAAGGTGATGACGATGCCATGGATACGCAGATGGGCTCCGAGATCGGTCGCAAGCACTTCGAGGCAACTTTACGGGCTTGGGCCTTGTGGTGCAGGCATGTTAGTCTTGGGACCGCGGGTGCTCTGAGAGACGTTATATGTGTCTTGACAGCTCTGACTGCTTGGTCCCCTCGCTCTTGTTCTGGCCCTCAATCCTTACCTTTGTGTTTTGTATTTCTGTTATTATCTCAGACTCTCACTCTATCCTTCTCCCTCTCTGTCTTCAGTGCCGTCCCTCCCGCCCTCCCTCTCCTGCCTGTCCGTTTGTCTGCACTAGGATCTTTTTTTCGGGTTCGGGGTGTTCGGGCTGCGGGCGTTTAGGGTTTCCTGGTGGATCCCGACGTTCAGGATTGCGTGCTGTTGGAGCTGCCAAATGTGGTCAGGGAGGTTTGGCTTCAACATTCGGTGGTCGTTATGTGGAGTACCTATCCTAGGGAGTGGAGTGACTGTGTGCTGACGTTTTCGGGCGAAAGGGGTCGGTCAACAAACATCATTGAGTCCTATGCTCTAAATCCTAAATCTTGCGCCGGTAAACCCTAAACCCTAAGCCATGCTTGAAGCAAAAGACAAAACCTCGAGTCCCCAAGCCCTAACAGTTCGTACCTAAACATCCGTTTACCAATGTTGTTGCGACTATTGTGATGACGACGGTGATAGTGATGATGGTGATGAGGATGAAGAAGCAGATGAACATAATGATGGTCATGGTGAAGATCCTCGTGGCAATGATGATGATGACGATTGTTGTTGCTACTATTGTCCTTGTTCTTATGACAATTAGTATTAATACTGCTGCTCTTAAGGATTTTAGTATTGGTGGTCTCAATATTCTCATCAATATCATTATCCTTTCTTTCTTCTTTTCGTGATTATGATACTTACGTTTATTAATGTCAATTCTTGCTGTTCCTTTCTCCGGCCTGCAACCCATCCTATCCGGATGTCTGCAGCTTGTAGGAAGCCTTCGCTGGGGCCCGCCGATCCGTCGCTGGGTCGGACCTGGCAAAGCAACTGGGCAAGTGTCTGGTTCGGGATGTAGGGTGACACTGAAATTTCGGGTTTGGGGTTTCAGCAAAAAAATTAGGGTAGGGTTTTAGGGTTTAGCTTTGGGCGTCGGGACTGGGGATGTCAGGGCGTAGCGGCGGACAGTGTAGCAGAGTTTGGGGTTTCAGGAATAGCGGAGCACGAGGTGAACCCGGAAGACCATTGCTGGCATGGCGGTTGCTACAGTTGCGTTCCTATGATGTCATCCTGTCAGGTCAAAGCAGGTGACCTGGGGTTTTGGTTTCAGGGATTCAAGGGTTCCTTGGTCGTGCGCTCAGTGGGGTGCTGGCATTCATCAAGTCCAGGTGTATTGGGATTCAAGGGTTCGGGTCCCGGATAGGAAAGGGGTTCGGGGGTTTTGGTTCTTTTGGGTTATCAGTTCTGCTTTCGGTTGCTCCCGGTCCCAGGTACGACCAGTTCCGGAAGAAGTTCGACCCAGTTTACATGAACTCGAGTGCCGGTGGAGGGACCGGAGTCGTCATCAACTGGCCGGATGATGTCGGAATCGGAGCAACCGCAGCAGCCGCCGATGACGATGATGACCTGCACCCTCGGCCGAGATTGAGCAGTAATTTGTTTTGGAAAAATTTAAACTCCCGATTTCGAGTAGCCTGCATCCCGACACTAACCTCCAGGTACGGATGAGCATCAGGGGAGATCTCTACGACCCTATGGCTTCGTTGAGGGTGCATACGACTGTCCATGGATTTCTCGAAGCACCAAATCCCAAACCAGGTTCAATGCCTGAATACGGAAGTTCCTTGCTGTCCAAGTTTGACAGCAGGCTCTGGCAGTGACAAGAATAGGAAAGATGCGGTAACACTGGAGATACGGCTACTTGTTGAAGTGAATCCAGCTGTCGACGGCGTCGTCACAGAAGACCAAGAACTAGTAGTAGCAGCGGCGACCGCGCCAGCAGCAGCAGCAGCAGCAGCAGCAGCAGCAGCAGCAGCAGCAGCAGCAGCAGCAGCAGCAGCAGCAGCCGCCCTCGGCATAACGTTAGAGCGACCAACAGACCGCAACATTGAGACCAGTAGTTGTGCCAGTAGATGCTAGTAACTAGTCGTGAGATGTTAATTGAGCGGTTGTGGTATGTGAACCACGGCACTAGAAGTAGTGACGAAGGAACTGGCGACACCGGTGGCAAAAAACATCGCGACGACGACGATGATGATGATGCTGCTGATGATGATGATCATAATGGTTATGAGGGGGGTGATGACGTTGATGATGGTGTTAATGCTGGCTGAGTTGATGATGGTGGTAGTAAGTAGTAGTAGAATTCGTGGTCGTGGTGGTGGTGGTGGTAGTGGGGTTGGTGTTGCCGGTGGTGGTGGTGGTGGTGGTGGTGGTGGTGGTGGTAGTGGTGGTGGTGGTGGTGGTGGTGGTGGCGGTGGTGGTGGTGGCGGTGGTAGTGCGGGCGGTGGTTCTGGTGGTGTCGTGGCGGTGGTAGTGGTAGTTGTCGTCGTCGTGGTGGTGGTAGTAGTAGCAGAGAGGAGCTGTATTGGTGTTGATGTCCCCGAGCGCTGCTATTCTGATTCTTG